GCAACGACGGCAATTTTTTGCCATATAGTGCAATTTTTATACTATTCACTGTGCATTACTATTTTGATACTTGAATTCAGATGTTGATCAAATCATGCGTAAATCACTATTTTAGTCTCAGTTTTCTTCGAAAAAAAAAACACTAAAGAAATACGTAGACATCAAAAATCCAAAGTAACAATAAAATTAAAGTTTTATTACAGTAATTTGAAAAAATGCTGCGGAAACTGTCAAAATTGCCATAGACAGCTGTTACGTTCTACAGCAATTTTTAACGCCATTGGCATTGCCGTCGATTGATTTCAGGGAAATTCGAGGCCTGGTATAACACCAAATTTTTGGCTGTAGCTAACACCCTGATGAGTGACCCACAATATGATAAAAACTTACTTTATTACAATGTTTCCCAATGCCCATTAGAAAATTATCTGGCTTTATATCTCTGTGTATGAAATTCTTGTTGTGTACATATTCTATTCTACCAATCATCTGAAACAAAGAACAATAAATGCAATGTAAACACAAATGTTTTGCTACAACATTTTACTTTTACCACATTGATCACGACTTACCTGATCTGCAAGCATCAAAACGGTTTTCATTGTGAATCGTCTCGAGCAAAAATTAAACAAATCTTCTAAACTTGGTCCTAATAAATCCATAACTAGGATATTGTAGTCTTTTTCTTGTCCATACCACCTGAAAATGAATGTTTGATACAAAATTTAGAGTCACTTGAACTGCTAATCAGATGTCAGATGCTCGCTATCAACAGTATATTTAGAAAGTAGATTTCACCTGGTGTGTGGAATTCCCACTCCACCTTGGAGGATTTTATACAATTTTGATTCATACAGTAACTGTGGATGACGAGCTTTTGACGATTCCAGCTTCACAGCAACTTCCTAGAAAGACCATATGTTGTTAGAATAAGAACCATTGAGAGTGGGGTGGGGGGTGTTCTAGACTTCTAGTGGTTAGGCTGTTGCGGTATATCGATATACCGATAATTATCGGGTTTTTATAAATACCGATTACTCGATATTGAAATTTTCGATATATCGGAATATCGATATTTTTCGGTATTATCGATATCACGTTTACGTTTGTATATTTAAACGTCATCTCAAGCTTTTTCAAGCGCTGATTGGAGTTATTTCAGAAGGACAAAGACGATCAATGTGTTAACTCAGAGCGAGATCTAAAACGTGTTTGTCATACGTTGGCGTTGCAAGGTGTAATATGTCATTTCGCGCTTGCAAAAAAAAACCATTTAGAACGTAAACAACGGTGGATTACAAATGTTTTAGAAAAACAAAAACAGAAAAACAAAAACTAACTTTATTGGACATTGTTTATCTAGTGAGATACTAGGACGACCTTTGTTTCGAATTCGCAATTGACTAAAATGTTTTGAAACAATTTCCCGTTCAAAAATATCACACATGATTCATCCGGTGCGGTAATCAATGCTAATAAGTAATATGCATTAAATTTTCAATTCTTAAATTAAAGCGGACATTTCACAGGCTACTGATCACTGGCCTCACACTTTATTGAAAATATCACGCACCCGATGAGTCAAAGCTGTTATATCGTGGCTGTTTGGCATCATTTGAAAACAGAAACTTTTGCATAAAATTAAGCAAATTTTGCATAAAATTAAGCAAAATACAATCGCGAAAAAATATCAATATATCGGTATTTTTTTTCCGGTATCGGTTTTCGTTTTTTTTTCAAATACCGCAACAGCCTACTAGTGGTAGGAGTCCATTCCCAGTATTGTTAAGATTGGGGTATTAGACACATCTACATCTTGCTCACTAAAATATCTCTGAATATTATGATAAACTTTTGAACTTTGCAACAAACTTGTGAACTTCAGAACAAAGTTTGGAACATTTTATAGGCAAAGGTTTATGTGAAATCAACTGTAAAAATAAAAATTTCTGTAGGAGAAATGTTGCAATTTAATCCATAAATAACACATCACAAATTGACAAAAATATTCATGTACTGTATCACTTTCGTGGCTTAATTTGTGAAACGGGCCTTACACTGTGTTTACACCACAATGCTACAGCAAATTTTCCATGATAGTGGTCTGTAGTTGGTGTACTACGGCAAGCCACTTTGTTATAGTGTAAACACAATACTACAAAACCTAGTTAATTTTTAACAGAATGCTAGCCATAGCATTATTTATAAATTTTCACGAATTCATTTGGAATTTTTAATAACAATAATAAGTTAATAAACTCTATAAATATGTACTCATTATAATATAAATATTAAATGAAAATGAATAGCTGCCCAAACAAATAATAAAGATACAAAATAGCCGGAATAATATTAACATAGACATCATAATCAAAACAATAAATTGCTCTTTATTGATTATCATCACTTTACAAACAAGAACATGCAAAAGTACGCAAAATTACACGCCCTATTTCATTATTTGAAAATAGAAATTATTTTAATACCCACGCATTCATCAATTTTTGCCCAACTAATCTAGTTAGAATTATGTCGAGAATAACAATGGCTAACCTCTGTATTAGTGATATTTGTGGCCAGATATATGTCTCCAAAAGAACCACTCCCAATTTTCCTTACCAAACGGTATTTACTACCGACAATAAATTCGGATTTCGACTCTCGCGAGCTCGACATTTCCGAGGGAAGTCGCCTATTCATCGATCCGGTATTTCTCCCTAAAAAAAACAGCCAGATTTTGTGAGTATCATCAACTAGTTGAGCTGGCTTGCGTTGCCATATTTGTATTTATATTTCACCACACATAAACAACATAGTTTCTCTAGCATCATTTAGAAAAACAAATTTACGCAGTTAAATTTCAAACTGTTGTGTCATTAAAATCTTCTTGACTTTGACCCAAATGGCCTTTCAAAATATGTCTGGCGAACCTACGCGGCAAAAATAGTGCCTACTTTTCAAAGCGTATTTTTTGAATTCTATACAGCTAATTTTGGGGCTCAATTTTTATTGGAGGCCTTTCGCTACAATGGGAATGCATTTAAAGATATTAAGAGTTAACATGTTTTGAGAATTAAGTTATAAATCCAGTCCAAACAAAGCGGTATTTGGCCGCGGTTGAAGCGACATGAATAATTGAAAAGCAACCACGAACTTCATCCGGACACAAATTCGCCACACGAAATTAACTCGATTGTGCCCAAAATACACTATTTTTCTTCATACGCTTACAAATCAAGTATTTCCTTATACACTAATGCCTTACATTTAAAAATAATTAATGGAAAGCCTCATATTTCGCCTGACAAAGCCCATAAACATGATAAACCCCAACATCACAGTCCACACAATATGGCACAATTGAGTTCATATAATTTTTTTACAAGCGACAATTAGCGCTCTTAAAACTCACCTTTCCTCAAAAAAAATACGTCTAAGTAAAGCTAAGGATGTGTAGTTCACCATAAGCTTGAAAATGGAGCGACTCGCGTTTGTTTAAGCGGTAGAAATAAGCATTACGTTCTACATATCAACTCCCACAAACAACCTCCATTTTTGCTCGCCTGCGGGAGTTTTGAAGGGCCAGCAGTCAGTTGGGGCTCATATTTGTTGTCATGGCGATCACGAAGAATGTGCGTAGTGACATCATTCAGAAGTACAAGAAGTCGGGAAAAAACAATGGGAAAAAAGGACTTTTCCGCATTTTAGGGAATTTTAAGGAGAAAAATAGGGCATTTATATAGGGAACACTACACACATATGGCTTAGATAACATTAAATTTGAAAAAAATATCAGAGAGAGAAATATACAAAAACGTTTTATAAGCACATCTACCCGAAAATCCAGTACGCTCATGAGCACCCCTCATATGTACCAAAATCGAGTGTCTTCATAAACCGATGCTCATGAGCATATTACTGGATTTTTGTATATATATGAGCGTGCTCATGCGCATACTGGATTTTGATACGTATATGAGCGTGCTCATGAGTGACATGAGAGACCACAATAAGGTATCCTCATAAGCAGCAGATTTCACTATATTTTTAGCCACGGCGGTCTGTGGCTAAAAAGTATACCAGATTTCTGTATACTTTTTAGCCACGGTGGTCTGTGGCTAAAAGTATACCAGATTTGATTTTACTATACTTTTTAGCCACGTCGATATGTGGCTAAAAACTAGTGTACAAGTCTTCAGAATACTATTTAGTCACGGCGGTCTGTGGCTAAAAAGTATACCATGTTTCACTATACTTTTTAGCCACGGCGGTCTGTGGCTAAAAAGTATACCATATTTCAGTATACTTTTTAGCCACGGCGTTCTGTGGCCAAAAAGTATACCATATTTCAGTATACTTTTTAGCCACGGCGGTCTGCGGCTAAAAACTATATCAGCTTTCAGTATACTTTTTAGCCACGGCGGTCTGTGGCTAAAAAGTATACCAGATTTCAGTATACTATTTAGCCACGGCGGTCTGTGGCTAAAAAGTATACCAGATTTCAGTATACTATTTAGCCACAGCGGTCTGTGGCTAAAAAGTATACCGTATTTCAGTATACTTTTTAGCCACGGCGGTCTGTGGCTAAAAACTATACCAGATTTCAGTATACTTTTTAGCCACGGCACTCTGTGGCCAAAAAGTATACCAGATTTCAGTATACTATTTAGCCACAGCGGTCGGTGGCTAAAAACTATACCAGATTTCAGTATACTATTTAGCCACGGCGGTCTGTGGCTAAAAAGTATACCATATTTCAGTATACTTTTTAGCCACGGCGGTCTGCGGCTAAAAACTATATCAGCTTTCAGTATACTTTTTAGCCACGGCGGTCTGTGGCTAAAAAGTATACCAGATTTCAGTATACTATTTAGCCACGGCGGTCTGTGGCTAAAAAGTATACCAGATTTCAGTATACTATTTAGCCACAGCGGTCTGTGGCTAAAAAGTATACCGTATTTCAGTATACTTTTTAGCCACGGCGGTCTGTGGCTAAAAACTATACCAGATTTCAGTATACTTTTTAGCCACGGCACTCTGTGGCCAAAAAGTATACCAGATTTCAGTATACTATTTAGCCACAGCGGTCGGTGGCTAAAAACTATACCAGATTTCAGTATACTATTTAGCCACGGCGGTCTGTGGCTAAAAAGTATACCATATTTCAGTATACTTTTTAGCCACGGCGGTCTGCGGCTAAAAACTATATCAGCTTTCAGTATACTTTTTAGCCACGGCGGTCTGTGGCTAAAAAGTATACCAGATTTCAGCATACTATTTAGCCACGGCGGTCTGTGGCTAAAAAGTATACCAGATTTCAGTATACTTTTTAGCCACGGCGGTCTGTGGCTGAAAACTATATCAGATTTCAGTATACTTTTTAGCCACGGCGGTCTGTGGCTAAAACGTATACCAGATTTCAATATACTATTTAGCCACGGCGGTCTGTGGCTGAAAATATCTAAAAAGTATACCAGATTTCACTATACTTTTTGGCCACGGCGGTCTTAAATAAGTTTATGCTCATAAGCACGCTTTTTATACATCTACCAAAATCCAGTACGAATTTTGGTATATTGATGAGCGTGCTCGTGAGAATACTGGATTTTGGCACATATGCATATATGAGCGTGCTCATGAGAGATCAACATAAGGTATGTTGAGAAGCACGCTCGTAAGCTCGCTCATACATCTACCAAAATCCAGCAAGTAATTATGAAGACTATGAAGTCGTTGCCTTCGGCTTCGTTTCCACTGGAAGAAGAAACGTTTTGAAAGCTAGTGTGAAACAATCTATTTACTAAAATTTAATTGCTTATTTTGCACTCTATATAATCAATAGTTGCCCTATCATGTAGCCTCCTGCCTCCTGGCCACTAACAACGTCATCATAATGACCATTCACGTTGAAAGCCTTGAAAGCCGTTGAAGGAATTAAGGAATTTTAACATGTCATCTAAGGAAATTTGAAGATTTGGAAGTGAATTAAAGAATAGAAAATACGGTTAAAAGTTAAAAAATAGTACTTAGGGTTATTAAACAGTTGATGTTTTTACTCAAGAAATTATCCTTAAAACGGTTAATCAGGTAAAACCTTTAACAAGAGTATTATTTTCCAAATAATCCGAAGAAAAACATTGAAACCTTGGGTATTATTTTCCGACTGAATCCGAACATGACGACCTACTTCTGAAAGATGCTTTTTGTTAGGTTTTGTTGTGATCGTTAATTTTAATTTTGGAGCTGTAAGAATCTTGGAAGTAAAAAAATAAAGTCCTTTATATGACAAAAAACGCAAACGATATGAAAGATTGATTTTCCATGAGGGAGAGAAATCCAGAAGCCTTTTGGTAGAAATAAAGTTCATGAAATAGTAAATTCCAATATATATTTACATTTGGAAATATTCCAAATTCTTGCTGTGACACACTGACAACCCTGTCAAGAATATATTGGTTTTAACGCTGTTTTATTTAAAAGAGTTCTTAAAATGGCAGCAGGAGAGGGGGTTAAGAAAATTGTTCTGCTTTCATGCGGCTCGTTTAATCCTATTACAAATATGCACCTGAGAATGTTCGGTAAGTTTTGTAGACTTGTATATTGTTGTTCTTTAGAAATTAGAACTTCCGGTGCATTTATCGCGGTTTTCCCTCCCGGAAAATGTGGCATGTCCGTCCGTTTATGGCGTCCTTTTTGGCACAGTTTTGCAAATCACAGCTAGTGTTGTAACTGCATTACATACTTGGTGTATGTTGGAGTGGGGATAGATTTACTGGGGGGTGGGGGGGGGGGTGGTGCAGGCGGTGGGGTTGCAGGCAGTACACAGCCTTCTTGGTCTTATCAAATCCATTTTTTGGATTCAGAAAGCACTTACAAGAATACAAGAACAAATATAAATTAACATGACTGTGAAATTGTCAAAAGAAAAATGCTGAGATCAAGATTACAGACTGGTAACTAGTGCCTTGCTGTTGTAGCCGATCCCTCCAGCCTCGTACCCAGGCGCTAAAAATGGGCACACTACAGTGTTATTATATAGATCAGTGGCTCGAGCGCGCGGGGATGCTTGGGGAGGACGCATTTTGCATCCTCCCCAAGCACCCCCGCGCGCTCGCTCATCTTAGCCACTGATCTATATAAAAAAACTGTAGTATGCCTATTTATAGTTAATTGCGCCTGGGTAAGAGGCTGCGATCCCTCCCTCAACGGTCACACCCTGAACCATGACCAAAGCTTGATGAACAGCTCCCCTACCAGATCTGCCTGGATCCATCCCTGTGTTGGGGTAAACTTGGTGACCTTGGTTTTGAAATATAGGACAAACAGATACTTGTTTTTGGAATTCATTTTCCAATTTCTACAAAAAAGTTTTTTTTGCATAAATTGGAGACCCTCAACCTTAATCTTCACAGACTGCTCTTCCAAACTGGTGGTTTGGTTATATCTATATCTATCACTTCCTGTCATTCTCCTTAACTGTAGTACATGTTATAAACTGATAATAAGACTAGTTACCACACTCTAATTCACCCTTTCCTGTACAAGTCTGCAAGATTTCAGAGGTTTGTGAAGCTAATTAACATGTGCATTATCAACATTCAGAACTGGCAAGGGATGCACTTCATAGAACTGGATTATTTTCTGTTATTGAGGGAATTATATCTCCAGTCAATGATGACTATGGAAAAGTAACTACAAAGGTAATATTATATCTGCATGCGTTTCAGAACAGCCACCTTTAATTGTCTCTGAGATCATTTCTATACTAAATTATATCTCACTATATCGACATTGGGAAAAATTTATTTAAAGTCATACGTCCCATTATTCTCAAAGTGTGCATTGAAATAGTTTTTGAACTGTTATACTAAATTGGAAAGGAGCTGACCTTTTGTACTTCAAAAATTTCAGAAACTTGCTCCTGGACATCATAGATTAAGTATGGCAGAACTAGCAACAAAAACGTCTGATTGGGTACAGTAAGTTATAAGCATACTTTCTGGTAATTCATCATTATTGATGTCTATTACAATAAACACCAAAAAAAATTTTTCTGCTGACTATACTCCTGATTCTTCCTAGTGTTGATGATTGGGAAGTGAAACAAAGCAACTGGAGACAAACATTGAATGTTCTAAATCACACAGAAGAAACAACACAAAAAAAATATTCAGCATCCGACAGCAATGACGTTCCGCATGTGAAATTATTGTGTGGTGGTGATCTCTTAGAGTCTTTTGCAGTACCAGGATTGTGGAAGGAGGAACATGTAGGTTTGAACAAAGTGTTGTTGGAGTTGATTTAGGAAAAATGTTCAGTAAATCAGCCAGTCAGCTTGTACAATATGTACGGTACTAGACAGGTGGTCAATGCATCTAACATTTTTGCCTTTGTTTGAATTTAAATTAACCTTTAGTTGTAATTTTATTAAAGTTATATTAATGTGGTGGGCTTGTAGTATAACCATGCAAGTTATACATGACATGTCAAACTTTATCAGAAAATTATTGATTATAATGGACAAATGTTTAATAAGCTGTAGAAGAAATAAGTATTTCAATAATCTTAATGTCAATCTCCCCACTACTCTATGTAGACACTTTGACAAAGTCCTGTTCTCATTTTGCCAGATGGCTGCAATTGTTCGAGATTATGGTTTAGTTGTTATTACAAGACATGGGTCAGATCCTGAGAAATTTATTTATGAATCCGATCTTCTTACAAGTTACAAGGTAAGACAATCCTGTTGTGTTTCTCAGCTTGACTTCAATTTGTGTATGTCATACTCGCTACTTGTTGTTATTGTTATCGTGATTGTTGTTGTTTTGTTGCTGGTGATGGTTGATTTCATACCTAATTTTTTTCATTTAAGTTATCAGTTAGTATTCATTTATTTTTCTCTATGATTTAGAGTAACATATTGATAGTGAAGGAATGGATTTATAATGACATCAGTTCAACCAAAGTGAGGTAATTCTGATGGATCTTGACGGATCATCAATCTTCAGTATAAGTTGGGGAGATGAGCTGACAGAAACATTTGATATATTTTGCAGACGTGCCTTGAGACGTGATGAAAGTATTAAATATGTTGTATCTGACCCTGTCATTGAATACATTGGAAAACATGGCTTGTTCAAGGTAATATCATGATACATTATACAATACAGTACAATACAAAAAAATTTAATTACGGCGAAAGCTGATGCTTGTGTATTGATCGTTTGGTGATGGTTGCCTAATACACAGCTTGTGATGCAATGAAGACCTAAGAAGAATACTGAAACTCTGGAAGGACAGGGGAGAATCAACCAGGCAATGGAATGAGGGAAAAGCTAAATAAATAAATACCCTATGCTCGACCTATTATAGAGCACATCCTTTGGGCTTAACTTAGCGGGAAGGGATAGAGTGCCAACTGTTCCTGTTACCCGCGTAAGAAAAGAATCTTACTATTAGTTGCTATTGTATTAGGAGCATGTTTCGCGGGTAAGGTCGGAGTTGTTCAGAAGGTCCCCTCCAATTGGAGGAAGGGTTTCTAAAAAACGAAACAACTTTGTTGTTCTGAACGCAAATAGAGCCAATGAAAAATACTGTTCCAAGAAACTACTAGGCATGTTCTAATCATGTTTCCTCCAACATAGCCACTGTCACTGATTGCTTTTATCACTTCTTTCAAAAATTCATTAATATTAACTACAGTAATTGAGTAACACACTTTTTAAATTAATTATAATAAAGACACTTGAGTTAATTTATTTCCATAAATCTTGGTTTTATTTTATAAATCTTTGGTTCGAAAAAAAATTAAACAGCCCTCCTGCAATTATCATCTGACTTTGTATAGGAACGAAGTGGTGTAGAAACGACAATTCATTTCTTTTTTTCTTTTTCGTGTCTCGTTCAGTCCTTCCGATGGCTCGAATGCTTCCCGTGTCTCGTTCAGCTCTTCGCATGGCTCGGATGTTTCCCGTATCTCGTTCAGCTCTTCGCATGGCTCGACAACTTCCCGTGTCTCGTTCAGTTCTTCACATGGCTCGAATGCTTCCTGTGTCTCCTCCAGTTCTCCCCATGGCTCGAATGCTTCCCGTGTCTCCTCCAGTTCTCCCCATGGCTCGAATGCTTCCCGTGTCTCGTTCAGTTCTTCGCATGTCTCGATTGCTTCTTGTGTCTCCTCCAGTTCTCCCCATGGCTTGACTGTTTCCCGTGTCTCCTCCAGTTCTTCCCATGGCTCGAATGCTTCCCGTATTTCCTTCAGTTCTTCGCATGTCTCGAATGTTTCCCGTGTCTCCTCCAGTTCTTCCCATGACTCGAATGCTTCCCGTGTCTCGTTCAGTTCTCCCCATGGCTCGAATGCTTCCCGTTTCTCGTTCAGTTCTTCGCATGTCTCGATTGCTTCTTGTGTCTCCTCCAGTTCTCCCCATGGCTTGACTGTTTCCCGTGTCTCCTCCAGTTCTTCCCATGGCTCGAATGCTTCCCGTATTTCCTTCAGTTCTTCGCATGTCTCGAATGTTTCCCGTGTCTCCTCCAGTTCTTCCCATGACTCGAATGCTTCCCGTGTCTCGTTCAGTTCTCCCCATGGCTCGAATGCTTCCCGTTTCTCGTTCAGTTCTTCGCATGTCTCGATTGCTTCTTGTGTCTCCTCCAGTTCTCCCCATGGCTTGACTGTTTCCCGTGTCTCCTCCAGTTCTTCCCATGGCTCGAATGCTTCCCGTATTTCCTTCAGTTCTTCGCATGTCTCGAATGTTTCCCGTGTCTCCTCCAGTTCTTCCCATGACTCGAATGCTTCCCGTGTCTCGTTCAGTTCTCCCCATGGCTCGAATGCTTCCCGTTTCTCGTTCAGTTCTTCGCATGTCTCGATTGCTTCTTGTGTCTCCTCCAGTTCTCCCCATGGCTTGACTGTTTCCCGTGTCTCCTCCAGTTCTTCCCATGGCTCGAATGCTTCCCGTATTTCCTTCAGTTCTTCGCATGTCTCGATTGCTTCCCGTGTCTCCTCCAGTTCTTCCCATGGCTCGAATGCTTCCCGTATTTCCTTCAGTTCTTCGCATGGCTCGAATGCTTCCCGTGTCTCGTTCAGTTCTTCGCATGGCTCGAATGCTTCCCGTGTCTCGTTCAGTTCTCCCCATGGCTCGAATGGCTTCCCGTGTCTCGTTCAGTTCTCCCCATGGCTCGAATGCTTCCCGTGTCTCGTTCAGTTCTTCGCATGGCCCGAATGCTTCCCGTGTCTCGTTCAGTTCTTCCGATGGCTCGAATGCTTCCCGTATCTCGTTCAGTCCTTCCGATGGCTCGAATGCTTCCCGTATCTCGTTCAGTCTTTCCGATGGCTCGAATGCTTCCCGTGTCTCGTTCAGTTCTTCGCATGGCTCGGATGCTTCCCGTTTCTCGTTCAGTCCTCCCCATGGCTCGACAGCTTCCCGTTTCTCGTTCAGTCCTTCCGATGGCTCGAATGCTTCACGTATCGCGTTCAGTCCTCCCCATGGATCGACAGCATCCTGTGTCTCGTTCAGTCCTTCCGATGGCTCGAATGCTTCCCGTATCTCGTTCAGTCCTTCCGATGGCTCGAATGCTTCCCGTGTCTCGTTCAGTTGAAGGCATGGCTCGGATGCTTCCCGTTTCTCGTTCAGTCCTCCCCATGGCTCGACAGCTTCCCGTGTCTCCTTCAGTCCTCCCCATGGCTGGACTGCTTCCCGTGTTTCCTTCAGTCCTACCAATGGCTCCACTTTTTTCATTGCCTGTCTCTCCGCTTTTATTACCGCAATACCAGGCCAGGGCCTTGCAACTGATTGTTTTGTCGCGACCGTTGGCTCTTTTGCGACATCTTTCCTTCTTTCCTCTTGCTTTTGGTCGATCAGAGTCGACAGAGAAAATGAAATGGACTGAAATTGATCTTTGATTTTCTCTGTCAGTTCATTCTTCATTCTTGCACTTGTAACTTTCATTTCGACCGTTATATTCTGAACAGCTTTGTTGACTATTTCCAGAACTTCGTTCATGATGACATTTTCCATTTTTTTCATCCCTTCTTTCATTTCACTTTTTATTTCATTCTGGCAAGCCGAAATCTCAGCTTTCATTGTTCTCATTATCTGGTCTTGACGGGCTAAAATCTCTCTCTTCATTTTTACTGCTTCATGTTTGAGCTGGCTGCACTCGTGACATTTCAACTTTCTGAAATCACACACTTCGGCTTGATGATAGAGCTTATCTCTAAAATTCAGGTCAGCAGTACAGCCCTCATTTGAACACTGCACGGGCCCGAATCCACATGTTGCCACATGATGTTTTAGTTGATTCAACTTCACCATTTCGCAGCATCCTCTGGCATAGTAATCACAATGAATATTCAGCTCAGATAAATAATCTTGTACAATCCGCGGAGCTTCATTCAGTGTATTGACACTGAGATGTTCAAGACACGTCGGGCAGAATGCAGACTTTGCCAAATGCTTCTTGATACACGAAGTGCAGAAATAGTGTTGGTTTTTACACATAACTGGTTCTCTCAGAACCAGAAGACAAATAGGACAGTAAAAACTCGGACTCACAACCGTTTCGAAGCGTATGTCTTCATAACCGAGCTCGTAATGGCCACCATTTGCCATAATTTCTTCGTCGTTTCTACAACTATTCTAACATATATTTTGTCCAAATTGAGAAGTGCCAACTCTACCAAGGCTAGCAGTTTACATATTGTCGATGCTGTTTCAAACACCGGCAAAAAAACGCGCTGTACTTGATTTTGAAATAGAATTTCGATTTTAAACTCGCTGACTGAAACTTGATATACTTGAAATGTTTTTGTATTTGCATAATTGAAACCATGTGATATTGCAAAATTATCTGTAACACTTTTAAAACACCTGTACCACGCAAGCCATGGTACAGGATATTAAGTTAGATAGGCCACACTAGAAACATGTACTACTTCTACTTAAAAACCTTATCCTGAACAGAAGACATTTAACCACTGATCAAGTGCAGTGCGTATTAAAAATGGAGTTCCACTAAGGCTATAAAGCTGTTGTGGTTTGTATGTGATAAGTTTTTTGTTCCGGTTTTCTACGGTGGCCGATAAGGGCCACCTCTGCTGCATGGAAACGCGACTGTGCTGCATGGAAACGCGACTGTGCTGCATGGAAACGCGACTGTGCTGCATGGAAGCACGATTGTGCTGCAAGGAAACGCGACTGTGCTGCAAGGAAATGCGACTGTGCTGCATGGAAACACGACTGTGCTGCATGAAAACACGATTGTGCTGCATGGAAACACGACTGTGCTGCATGGAAACACGACTGTGCTGCATGAAAACACGATTGTGCTGCATGGAAACACGACTGTGCTGCAAGGAAATGCGATTGTGCTGCATGGAAACACGTCTGTGCTGCATGGAAATTGACGATCAACCTCGTACCAAGGGTCCCCGTGTTTAAAGGTTCTGGTGCACGAGTTGGGACCTTTAAACACGGGGACCCCTGGGTACGAAGTTGATTGACGATGTCAGTACAAACACAAGTGGCCCAATATCGCAAGCGTCAGTATAGTAATGTGTATTATAGTAAAATTATGTGATAAAATATAAATTTTAAAATGAAATTGACTTGCCTATTTGATAGTGTGTGTTCTCCTTTTATTTCTCTTTTGTTAGACTAATATTTTTCGAGACTTTGCACTCGATGGACGATGGTACTAATATACATACTATATGATAAAGGCAAACTACTTACAATCCATCGTCGGCTTATGCAATATTTTAATTTTGGGATAGGTAATAGGACCTCTACATGCGTCTTGGACCTGTGGTGTACTTAAAATCATTATTTATCTAATGGATTACTGTTATTTTCAACGGGGTCTTGAAAGTAGACCATGCCGTGAAACATTGTATAAAAGGTCCCCGCGTTGTTTTGTGTCTCTTTTTGTTATTCCATTGTAGAAATATCGTGATTGAAGTTAGCATGTGCTGTATGTAAAGTTATTACTTGGTAATTGATAGGTGTAATTTGACGATGCACATGAATTTATCGATATCACAGGGTCGAATTTGACCATACTGCGATGTTGTAAATTAGGAATTAGTAACAAGACTTGTGATTTTGCGCTGTGTAATTTTCCTGTATCTCATTTGAGTAAATGGTTTTCTTAAAAATATCTTCACAGGGTCTGGAAAGTAGACCATGCAGTGAGATATTGTAAGCTTAATCCTTGTTGTTAACTGTGTATTCCATAATCT